GGGGGGGGGGGGGGGGGGGGGGGGGGGGGGGGCACCGAGAGGGCAGCCTCCTCGTGGTGGAAGAGCCAGCCTCCTGGACCTCACTCATCCTGGCCCCCGCGGATGTCCGGCACGCGGCCGGCGGGGAGCCGGCGCCACCCCCGAGTGGGGCCTCTCGGCGCCTCTCCGCCGATATTCCGACTCAGCTGGCCACGCCCGGGCGACGCGCTGTGCATGCCGGTAGGGCACCGTGTGAGGTCCAAATTGCACGGTGTTTCACTGCCGGCGCGATTCCACCAGCCAACGCCTCCTTGGAAGGGGGCGTCGTCATGCGCGGCGAGCGGCCCCGCGCGGTGCCCGGGGCCCGGCCCGGCGGCACCCGGACATCGGTGCCCAGGTGCTCGCAGGGCTATTGGGCCCCGCTCCCCCCCCCGACGTTCGCGGGTTCTTGGGCCCGTTGGTCGACCCTCGGTGTTCCCCCCTGTCCCCCGGCGCCCCTGGCTTGCCTCCGGTCTCGCGTCCCCAGGCAGGGACAGGCCCGGGGCCCGGGGCCCTAGGCCCCGGGGGCGGCGCGGCGCCGCGAAAAGCGCAAAGGCCGAAAAGCGTCGCTCGGCGCTACTTCTCGGAGGGCGCCCGGCGCAGCCACGAGGCGGTCCTAAATGTGCGCCCAGATTCGTCGCGTAATCACGCGCGAAGAGCCCCTCAGCCCCTCGACGGCCTGATTTCGACGTGATGGCTTTGAGGCAGCCGACTGACCCGAGTGTTTCCCAGACGCCGCGCCCAGAGGAAATTGCCCTTTTCGGCCTCCAATTTCCCGGCCTCGGGGCGTTCTCGTCCCGAGGGAGGTATGGCGTTCTGGTCTCGCCCCCCCCTCCCCCCGTCCGACCGCCCTGCCCTGCCCCGCCCGAAGGCCTAGCGCAGATTCCAATCACAATTGGGGCCATGCCGCCTGGCCATGTCTCTGCCTCCAGATCGGGAACCTGGCCCTTCGGGATGGTCTCCCGGTGGCGCACGACCCGTTGAGCGACCTGCCGGGAGCCTGGACCTCGAGGGGCGTTTCCTGAGGTACGGGGTGACCCGGGCGGGGGGAAAATGAAAAGGGCAATTTGCGTGAGCGAAAGCCCGGGGTCTCATTCCTTTGTTTGCGGACACTCCCTCTGGCTGGTCCTCTCCCTCATTCCAGGCCCGGCCCTCTCTGGGGGGGGGGGGGATGGCGGCACTGGAATCCGAGCCAGGCTCTGCCGAAAAGCACGTACAGGTGCCCCCCCCCCCCCGCCTGGCGGTTCAAAGACCGGCCTTGGTTTACACGGGAAACCGACCCTCGAACCTCTTGCCGCGCCAGGCCAGCCAGTCCCACGGCAACGTGCGCCTCTCCTTCATTGGCAGGTAGTGCATGTCCACATCCGCTGGGTGTCTCGGCGCGCGGCCGACCGAAGCACCGGCCAACATGCGCCCCTTCTTGAGAATACACTTCCCGGGATGGCTGTCCTTGTTCGGGTCCGAGGACGCGTTGAGTTCGTCCGCCCCCTGTTTCTCTGGCCGCCGGTCGGCCTTTTTGGTCTCGTTCTCCGGCGCGGGGGCGAGGCATGACGCGACGCCGGTGCCGCACATACGCCTCCGCACGGTCTGGCGACGGCCCTCCTCTGCGCCCTGGCCCGGCGGACAAGGCCGAGAAGCCGGCAGCCCGGTCCGAATTGGCCAGCCGATCCGGTGCTCTTGGGCAGGGCCCCCGGCCGGGGGATTGGTCCAGCAGAGATGCCAATGTTCCAAGCGCATACCTGCGTCCCTTTCTTCCGAGATCCGGCCCTTCCGGGGTATGCGAGCAGACCTGCGCGCGCAGGAAGGCCGCGGCTGCGCTGGGAGGACGGGGCGCGCGAGGGTGGGGAGGGCGGCTCGCGTCCGCGCCCCCCCCCCCCCCCCCCCTCGTCGCCCCGTTGGGTGCGTCCTGCCAGTGTGAGCTGGCGCCCTCGGATCTCGCATGGCCGCCGAATGCCGCCAGCCGCCGCCCGATCCCGGCCGTCCGGTCCACTGCTTTTCCCCGTTTCGTCGGGGCCCCCCTGCCTCGGGCCCAAATGCGGGTGCCTACACCCGGGCCTGGGGTGCCGGGCCGACGGCAGCCCTGGCCTCTTTGACGCCGGGACGAAGCCTGACCGTGTACCCCCCTTCGGCGACGAACCCGCGTCCCGGCTGACCCCTCCACCGAGAGCACCGCAGGCCCCCCCCCCCCCCCCGGTCCGAGCAGGGCCAAGGGACCGAGTGTGAGCGACAGAGGCGGAGGGACACAGGCGGACAAGTTGGGATTTATCAGCCGCAGCCCCGCCCCCCCCATGTATCCCCCGCCTGGTCAAGGCAAGAGTACCGGATTTTCCTCCTGTCCTCCCATCCTCCCCCTCCTCCTCCTCCCCGCCATGACTCCTCTTGCTCGCAAGCTGGGCCACGGGCTCATGCTCGCCCTCCTGGCGTGCATCGCCCTGCTCGCCCAGCACGCCGTCGCCTCGTGTACGAGACACACCCACACCCACACCCTCTCTCTTCCCCCCTTGTCCCTCAGTCCGCATCCCGCATCCCGCATCCCGCATCCTCACCTCCTCCCGCTGCCCACACATGCCCCTGGTCCTCCCCTTCCACAGCTAGCTTCGTCAAGGGCATCAAGACCTCCGCCGAGGCCGGCATCCGCGCGTCCGTGTCGCTCGGCCCGTCCGAGGTTGCCACCATGTCGGCCGATGGTCTGGCTGCCGCCCTGCGCGCCGGCCCGGAAGCCTTCAACTCCCTGACTTTCGTCCTGCCCCAGTCCGAGGTGTCCGACTCGCTGGCCATCCTGCTGGAGCGCGACCTGGACTACTTCGGCGTCGCCTCCCCGGAGGACCTCCACACTGCCGAGACCATCCCGGCCGAGCACCGCCACCTGCTGCCGAACCTGGCCGTGTACCGTGCGCGCGTGCGCCCCGCCGCCGCCGACCTCGACTGGAATGCCATCGACACCACCGAGAGCCCGGGCTTCTTCACCCTCATCAATGGCAAGGTTGTCGGCCGCTTTGTCCACCCGACCACCGGTCAGAGCATGATCGTCAGCCGTGCCTTCGACGAGGCCGCCGAGACCTTCACCGCCAGCGCCGACTCCGCGGGCATCCAGCTGCGCGTCGCGGTCGAGGATACCGCCGCCGCCGCCGCCGCCGCCATGGCCACCGCCTCCCCGGTCGGCAACCGCTCGGCTCACATTTCCCCGAGCGAGGCCGAGCGCAATCTCCGCCGTCGGGCCCTGGAGCTGGCCCTGGAGGCCATCCCCTCCAACCTGCCCGAGGAGGCTCGCCAGCGCCTGGTGGACAAGATCCGCGAGAGCCATGCCGCCATGTCGCTGGATGTTGTGCGCGAGCTGCTCGATCGTCATTTCGAGGCTTCCGGCAAGGCGGAGAAGATCCGCTCCGGCCAGATCTCCATTCCCATGTCCCACCTGGCCAAGCCCGGTCGCCGCATGGCCGCCCGCTCGGTCGCCCCGAGCGCCGTCGCCGCCAATGACGCCAACACCAAGGCCTCCTATGTGGCGGTCATCCCGCTGCACTTCCTGATCGATGGCGACACTTACAACTCCTTCGGCCAGGATGTGGACGAGGTCGCCACCTACATCCTGCACGTGCACTATGGTGCCCGTGTCCTCTTTGCTCGTGGTTCTCAGGAGAGCTTCTACAACCCGGTGCACATCCAGTCCCCGGCCGACATTGAGATCATCACCTCCTGGGCTCCCCCGATCGATGCCGGCCTCTACCTGGATGATATGCGCCGGGTCCGCAACACCATTCACACCATTTCCCCCACCGCCACCGTTCACGGCATTTCCACCCTGAACTTCACCTACGGCGGGTCCAACGGCATTGTCGGCATTGCCTTCACCGATGCCGTGTGTGAGAATGCCTCCGTCGGCTTGTCCAAGGTTGTCCCCTCCTCGGTGGCCTTCGTGGCCGAGACCATGGTTCATGAGATGGCCCACCATTTCAATGTTGCCCACGATGATGATGACATCGATGGGGACGGCTTCCAGGACTGCCCCCATCCCAACCACCCGCACGAGCACTACGTCATGACGGCCGCCGTTCCGATCGGCTCCATCTCCCAGGTCTGGTCCTCCTGCTCGGCCATGGCCCTGGACGACTATATCCTCACGTCTCCCCCCAGCAAGACTTCCTGCATCTTCAACTCAAACACCCCGGCCACCCCGAACCTTCCCAACCCCCTCCCCACGGGTCGTTGCATTGGCATCGATCTCCGGATCGATGTTGATTCCTTCTGGTGCGAGCTCGACGCCTTCCATGTTGCTCGTTGCCCCGGTGGTCAGGGCTACCGTTGCCCGACCAACACCGTGTGCATCCAGGAGTTTGATGGCTCCACCATCTACTCGGCGCTCTGCTACGATGGCGACCTGAACGCCTACCAGCCCATCTACAACTCCGCTGCTCGTCTGGCCCCCTCGGTTCTGGGCATGGCTGCTGCTGGCGCCCTCGCCGTTCTGGCCACCCTCTTCTAAGGGGGAGTGTCTGTATGTCAGGAAGGAATGCGCCACATACGCATGTGCATACACACGCACGCCCCCTTCCCCCCCCCCCCCTCCTCCGCTCTCCGGCTTGTCACAAGAGAGTGAGACACAGGGCCGGTCGGGGACGCGGAAAATGCGACATCGGAAGGAAAATAGTCCTTTCCGTCTTGCTCCCTGTTTTATGGGGTTCCCCCGCGCCCAGCTGCCCTCCTCTTCCTCTGCCACCCGCGGCGCGCATGATGCCACTGTGCACTCTGTGGGGACACTGTCTGTTTTGTATTCCTCTCCCATATTGGGCAAAATATAGCCTGCTGTGAGTCCCTCTACCTGGCCTCTTTTTTCTCTTTCCCCCCCCTTTTTCTTTTTTGACCCCTTCGGTCGGTATATCTGTCTGTGGACACATTACCCGCCTCTCTCTGCCTCTCTCCATTCAACTTCATCTGCTTGGGATTTATTTAGAGCCATATCAGGAAAGGGCTTCCAGACAACACAAGGATGCTCTCTCCGAGGGACCACCACTAATTGGTGAGACTATTGGCCGCCAGATAGCCATGACACAAGAGTCCAGCGACCAAAGCTGTGGCGCAGCCGAAAATAACCATGCCCATCCACCGCGGGGCATTGGTTGAGGATGTGGCCGCGCTCTCGACCCACCGACGCCGGGCCAGCTCCCAGCCCATTTGCAAAGCAAGACCCATGAGAAGATACCCAAAGAAAAGGGCCACAAGGTAGTGGTGGGCAAACAGCTATGCTCATAAATGTGAACAGGGTCAGCAGGCGATCACGGAAATGCCCACGCCGTCGGGGAAAGGAGGCGGCAGGAGCCAATGCAAGGGGGCGAGCGACAGAAAGGGTGACCGGCTCGCGTACCGTCCGACCCATCAAACAAAAGGGCACGAAGTGACACAGCCAGCCCAGCCAGCTGGCATCCATGCGCCGAAGCCACTCGCTGGTTTGATAGCGGCAGCCAGCCCGGCGAGTCACCTCAAGCCGGAGATCCGCCCCGGACCCCGCCGGGTAAAGCTTGTCCTGCTGGCGAACATCATCCGCCACCCAGTCCTCCGAGCCATAAAGGATGAGCCAGCTCCGACCATGGACCGTGCAATCTGGACCACACCCACGCGCATGCAGCACCGCATCGACAAACCGCCAGCCAGGATACACCAGGGCTACCACCAACAAAACCAACAACCAAGCAGGCCGGTTGGCCACAAATCGAATCTCCGAGCTGCCTGAAGCACTTGCAGGCACCGCTTCCAAATCCGGGCGATCCCCAGTCCGCCCGGCCATGCGGTGCTGGTGAGCGGTCCAGTACAGGGCCGCCGGCACACGACCCACCAGCCAGGCCCACGGACTGGACGCGGCCGAGTGCTGTTCGGTCAGGCCCCGATGCAGGCGCAGTGTGGCCGCCGCCAATTCCACCAGTCGCTGACCCAGAGGCAGGGTTGTCCGACAGGGCAGTGACACCGTGGCCGCGCTGGACGCCCCGGCCAGCACATCGGTCACAGTCCATGTGGCCGGGACCCCGGGCCCCGGGGCCCCGGGGCCCCAAAGCCCAAGCGTGCCCCGGCGGAGGAGCCCACCCTCGGGAATGGGATTGGGCTGCTTGGTCGGGCGCTTGACACAGGTCAACAGTCGACCGGAGGCCGTCAGCCCGGCCACTCCGGCTGGGCGAAGCTCGGATGCCGCCAAGTAGCACCCTGCCTTGACATGGAAAAGGTGGAACTGTGTCAGGAAGGATAGGAGCACTGCCTCGCCGGTTGGACCAGCAGCATCCGCGGCCGCGGCCGATGTCCACTGGCTGACCATCTCCCCAACCGCCCCGCCATCCGGCTCAGACTGGAGGTATGTGCCCAGATGCGGCTGCGAGAGGGACAGTGGCCCTGGCCAGGCGCTGGCAACCGGCTCCAATCGCCACACATCCCGAGCGAGGGCCTTCGTCGAGTTTGTGGCAATCACCACCAAGTCCGGAGCATCGGGACGATGATCGGTGCCCCGGGCCACAGTGAGCAGACTGCCAGACGCGGCATCTCGAAGGCGGAGGAACTGCCATAGCCACCGATCGAGCGTCAGTCAGGCGGAAAGCCATTCGCCTTGCCACGGCAGGAGGGAGGAGGGCAGAACGAGAGAGGCGACGGCGGACAAAAGGGGCGATAAAAGAAAAGAGAAAAAGCACGACAACACATGGGGACCCACCGAGTTCGGGCGAAGCTGGGGTGACGTCGTTACCGAGGCCTCCGCCGAGGCGATGTCCCGGTCCGCCAGTTCCACCGTCCAATGTGCCTGCCGGCAAAGCGGCCCACGATCCACAGCCACAAGCCGGTGACCCGGTGCGGCGGCCGGCGCGTCACTCGCGGCCGCTGGCAGCTCCGGCGTGCACAAGAAACTGCCACGATGGTCCCCGTCCAGGGCGTTGGATGACAAGCCGAGTGTCACCTGGCTACCGAAGGCGACCACTGATGTTCGTCGGTGTCAGTTGCTTGCCAGCCCTCTGGGCCCGAGGAGCCCCGGTCAAGGAAGCAAACCATACCATCAACCTTGGACATTGGCACTTCGTCACCCGGGTGGTCGGCTGCCGCTGTCAACATCTGCGACCAATGTGGCCCCAGGTGGCGAATGCCGCCGATGCTGTTCACATGCGCCGGCGCGTGCCCCGACAGCAAAGACAGGTGCCATGCGTAAAAGCCCCCGAGGATGCCAGCCACGCAGAGGAGAATCGTCACCAGGTGCCGCACGCCGCGTGCAAGTGTTGTTGCCTGCCAGGTGGGAGAAGGGTCAGACCGCCGGGCGGTGGTGGGAGGCGGCCCTGGCTGGGAGTTCCGGACATACCAGTGGAAGGCGAGGATCCTGCGCCAGGCGCCAAGTGAGCACCACCAAACGAAGAACCACCGCTGCCACTGTGAACAGGCCGACGGTCTTCACGCTATGGAGGGGGGACCCGCATGGCAAGGGCATGGTAAGGGCTCGGTTCATCATTGGCTGGGGCCATTTGCGAGGCCACCCACATAGGGGGG